ACAGGGAGGAGGGAGCAAGCTTCCTTTCTGCTTCCCTGGAGACTAGAATGCAATGGAACAATGGCTTCAAACTACAAGAGAGGAGATTCCATCTGAACATGAGGAAGAACTTCCTGACTGTGAGAGCCGTTCAGCAGTGGAACTCTCTGCCCCGGAGTGTGGTGGAGGCTCCTTCTTTGGAAGCTTTTAAACAGAGGCTGGATGGCCATCTGTCAGGGGTGATTTGAATGCAATATTCCTGCTTCTTGGCAGAATGGGGTTGGACTGGATGGCCCATGAGGTCTCTTCCAACTCTTTGATTCTATGATTCTAGGGGCAGGAGGGGTGGCTGTGCTCTGGGCTGGACGGGGTGGGTGGATGAATGGATGTGGTCAAGCCCTCCAAGCCCCAACCTGCCTGCAGCCCCTGAGGTGGGTGAAGGGGGGGCCCAGGGAGCTGACCCTGTGGGAGCCTCTCCTGCAGCAGGTGCAAAATAATTCCTGCATTGTTCTTCTGGGTGGAAATGTGAATAATTAAAGGCTATTCATTAATACAAAAGATGACACTCTAAAGATTTCTAAAGGACTTCTAAAGGACCGTGGGAAGGTAAGCTTGGTTGAAGTTCTGGGTCTGAGCCTGCCACTTTTGGACTCTCGCTTGCTGGGGTGTTCCAGCGAGTGTCTCTGTAGATCTTAGAAAACTATTTCTTGATTTAAGTCATTGACATGCTGGCTGATACCCAAACAGGGGATGAGCTGGAGATCATAGAATCATAGAATCAAAGAGTTGGAAGAGACCTCATGGGCCATCATCCAGTCCAACCCCATTCTGCCAAGAAGCAGGAATATTGCACTCAAATCACCCCTGACAGAGGGCCATCCAGCCTCTGTTTAAAAGCTTCCAAAGAAGGAGCCTCCACCACACTCTGGGGCAGAGAGTTCCACTGCTGAACAGCTCTCACAGTCAGGATATCTCTGCCTTGGTCCTTTCACTATTGGCTGCTCCTTCCCGGCAGATGTCAGGTGGTACAATACCGGCTAAGCAGTGTAATTTCTCCCGTGGTGTAGGGCGCAGACACCCCGTGATAATGCAGCATGTCTCATGAAGAGCCACATCCACTGTTTTAGCGTGGTGAGGTGTGTTCCACACTGGGCATGCATACTTAGCAGCAGAGTAGCATAGCGCAAGGGCAGATGTCGTCACTGTGTCTGGTTGTGATCCCCAGGTTGTGCCAGTCAGCTTTCATATGATATTGTTTCTAGCACCCACTTTTTGGTTGATGTTCAGGCAGTGCTTCCTGTAGGTCAGAGCACGCTCCAGAGTGACTCCCAGGGATTTGGGTGCGCTGCAATGCTCCTCTGGGATTCCTTCCCAGGTCATCCTCAGAGCTCGAGATGCTTCTCTGTTCTTAAGCTCTCAGAAGTGCTTCCAGGTACTGCTCAGGTGGGATCTGCTCTCCCTTCCGTTCCCTTCCTCGCAACCTGTTGGGTCCTGGTCAAAGGGGCATTCTCCGCCAAAAAGGCAGTCATGAGGGGCTGAGATGCCCAGGCCAGCAGTTGATTGCCAACTCTCCAGACATCGCTCGAACATCGGCATTGGCAGTCCCCACCTTGCTGCCTGGTTTGCTCCACACTCCCGAGCCACAACCCCCGTAGGTAAATCCTCACCTTGCGGGGGATCAAGTAGTAGGCAGGCCATTTCCTTGGGGGTTAAATCCTCTTCCAGGGGATCCCTAGATTGGCCCTAGTCTGATTCCACTGGCTCCCATGGCGCGAAGATTGAATTGCTCCGAGGGTCCACCTTGTGTGGTTCGGTTGGGGGTTGTGGACACGAGCCGTTCAGACACCTTAATAGATCTCCAAGGCATCTGGAACGGCATGCTAAAAAATCATGTTCCTCCAAGAGGAGTTTGATAAAACCAGGGTCATATCTCCGGTGGTTAAAGCCCCAATGGCCTCGATTGAGATTGGAGTCGGTCTGTTCTTCTTGGTCCGGTAGTACCGGAGATCTCATGAGGTAGGTTCCGGCCGATAGCAGCTACTCCCAGATAGATTTGACGGTTTGCCTTATCCAAGGTAAGTGTGAATAGAACTCAAGGAATGTACACAGCCAAGCAACCAGCAGACAATAAATCCAACGGGCAGGTTCCTGTATTGGTAATCGGAGCACTCCCGCCAAGTTGCTTACTACGGCAGCGTCTTATCTTATCTGTATGAATATTAACAGCAGTCCTTTGGTAAGAAAACCATCTTCAATCTCAAGGCTAATGAGCTGATAAACCTCAAAGGCGCCCAAAGCCGAGATAACCAACCAAGACGAGTGAAAAAGGCCAGTCAAATAGGCAGACTCCAGCGTTTGTAGCCGGAGCGCTCCCACGAGCTACTCACTGCGGCCCCATCTTGCCTCCCTGATAGTATTGATCTTAAACCCTGTTTAAGGCGCTCCATTGGCTGCCGTTCATTTTCCGGTCCCAATTCAAGGTGCAGGTGCTTAGCTACAAAGCCCTAAATGGTTTGGGACCGCCTACCTGCATGACCGCATTTCTGTATACAAACTCACACGATCTCTTTGATCTTCTGGAGAGGCCCTGCTCGCAATCCCGCTTGCATCGCAAGTGTGATTGGTGGGGACGAGGGACAGGGCCTTCTCGGTGGTGGCCCCTCGATTCTGGAACTCACTTCCTAAGGACATGAGGCATGTCCCAACACTGGCAGTCTTTAGGAGGAGCTTGAAAATGTGGTTGTTCCAGTGTACCTTCCCAGAATAAGGAAACTCCCAGCAATTTGTCCCGAATGCACTTTATTGGAGATCTAGGATCAACTGCATGCCCCACCTGTCTTCAAAATACCTATTCTATTTCACCTGGTCATGCCCAGCATTTTTTAACAATTTTAATGATTACACTTGGCCCTGCCATAGGTTCTTTTAATGCGTCGTGGTGTTATTGTTAATGTTTACTGCTTGTTTATGAGTTTATTGTTGTATTGTTGTTGTTTTACTGATGTACTTGGGCTCGGCCTCTTGTAAGCCGCACTGGGTCCTTTGGGAGATGGTAGCAGGGTATAAATAAAGGATTATTATTATTATTATTATTGATCTTATTTAGCATTCACCAACCCCAGAGGAGGAGGGGAGATATTGGGAGACCTGTCACCGGTGTGCCGAAGGATGGCACGCAGGTCAGAGGAGGGTCAAGTCTTCAGATGACTCGGCCTCCCTCTCGCATACGGCCTGCGGCCACCGCTACACTTCCCCCTCCCAGAGATTACAGGGATTTGCAATCCTCGATTTGACCCCATGAGAGATGTAGCTAGGTGTCTAGTCGTCTGCCTGCCCCCAGAAAAGGGGATTGAGGAGGATGGTCTACATCACAATCCTAGACGGCATTTCTAGATTGATAAGTAGCAGCAATGGCTGCAGCCTCAGTGCATTCCGATATTTGTCCACAAGATAATCCTAAAATCCTAGAATCCTAGAGTTGGAAGAGACCTCATGGGCCATCCAGTCCAACCCCGTTCTGCCAAGAAGCAGGAATCTTGCATTATTATTTATTTGTTTCAATTACTTATACCCCGCCCTTCTCACCCCCGAGGGGGGACTCAGGGCGGCTTACAAACAACGGCACAATTCGATCCCTGAATCAATAAACAAACAATACCTAAAAATGATTTAAACAGTTAACAAGTTAAAAACATTGGTACATAACAAAATAGCAAAACAATCTCATGCTCGGTGTTCAGAGTTCCGTATGTCCATTCCATTCTATTCGCCCATGTTTATCGTCAGATCTTCCCTTAGCTGCCAGAATGTCCAAAAGCTTGGTCCCATATCCAGGTCTTCGGTTTTTTCCTGAACGCCAAAAGGGAGGTCGCTGATCTAATCTCCCCGGGGAGTGAGTTCCACAGGTGAGGGGCCACCACTGAGAAGGCCCTGCTCCTCGTCCCCGCCAAGCTCACCTGTGATAGTGGTGGGGTCGAGAGCAGGGCCTCCCCAGACGATCTTAAATTTCGAGATGGGATTATTATTATTAGAATCATAGAATCCTAGAGTTGGAAGAGACCTCCTGGGCCATCATCCATCCAACCCCATTCTGCCAAGAAGCAGGAATGTTGCATTCAAATCACCCCGACAGATGGCCACCCAGCCTCTGTTTCAAAGCTTCCAAAGAAGGAGCCTCCACCACACTCCCTCCGGGGCAGAGAGTTCCCCTACTGAACGGCTCTCACAGACAGGAAGTCCTTCCTCATGTTCAGATGGAATCTCCCTTCTTGTAGTTTGAAGCCATTGCTCCATTGCGTCCTAGTCTCTTTCCAGGGAAGCAGAAAGGAAGCTTGCTCCCTTCTCCTCCTCCCTGTGGCTTCCTCTCACGTATTTATACATGGCCCTCCTCATGTCTCCTCTCAGCCTTCTTTTCTTCAGGTTAAAAATGCCCAGCTCCTTAAGCCACTCCTCATAGGGCTTGTTCTCCAGACCCTAGTCTCCAGGGAAGCAGAAAACAAGCTTGCTCCCTTCTCCTCCTCCCTGTGGCTTCCTCTCACGTATTTATCCATGGCCCTCCTCATGTCTCCTCTCAGCCTTCTCTTCTTCAGGTTAAAAATGCCCAGCTCCTTAAGCCGCTCCTCATAGGGCTCGTTCTCCAGACCCCTGATCATTTGAGTGGACACATTCCAGCTTAGAGTCAATATCTCTCTTGAATTGTGGTGCCCAGAATGAGGCAGGAGGAGGCTGGGCTGGATGGCCTTTGGAGGGTTCCTCTCCCAACTCTATTCAATGGTAATGATGATGATGATGATGATGATGAAGCAGGGGCGGGATGTCCATCTGTCAGGGGAGCTTTGGCGGTGCCTTTCCTTCGTGAAGGCAGAAAGAAGGGGGTCGTGCTCTCCTGCATGGCCCCCTCGTGACGTCACCCCCCTGCGCCGGCGGAGAGGGTGGTGGAGTGGGCGTGGCCAAGGGGGGCGCCCTGTGCTGCTGGTGCTCCTCTCCCGCGTGACGTCACTCCCCTGCGCCGGCAGAGAGGGAGAGGGAGAGGGAGAGGGCCGGGGTCGGCCGGTTGTCCGGGCGACGGCGGGGAAAGCGGCCAAGGCCCTGCCGGAGGAGACAGGCCCCGAGAGGGAGAGGAAGACCCCGGACCCCGGTGAGGAGGAGGAGGAGGGAGGGAAGGGAAGGGAAGCAGGGAGGGAGGGAAGGCGGAGGGCCACGTGGCCGAAGGGCGGAGGAAGGGGAGGTGGGCCAGGCCTGGCTCAGTTTGGGCTCGGGGCTGCTGCTCCCACCCTTCCTCACACCCCCAGGCCCTTCCCTCTCCCCCCTCGGCCGCTTGAGCAGGAAAGGGACGAGGAAGGGGCCCCAGATGTGGACTCTAAGCTGGAATACTATGTCAATAATATCAAGGGTCTGGAGAACAAGCCCTATGAGGAGCGGCTGAAAGAGCTCGGCATGTTTAGCCTGAAGAAGAGAAGGATGAGAGGAGGCATGATGAGCGCCATGTATAAATATGTGAGAGGAAGCCACAGGGAGGAGGAGGAGGAGGGAGCAAGCTTGTTTACTGGGTTGTTGTAGGTTTTTCCGGGCTATATGGCCATGGGAAATAGAGGGAGAAAATGTGGAGGCCGTGACAGGGTTTGTATTTCTAGGCGCAAAGATGAGTGCAGATGCAGACTGTGGCCAGGAAATCAGGAGACGCTTCCTTCTTGGGAGGAGAGCAATGTCCAGTCTCGATAAAATAGTAAAGAGCAGAGACATCAGACTGGCAACCAAGATCCATTGCCTAGTCAAAGCCATGGTCTTCCCTGTAGTCACCTACGGATGTGAGAGCTGGACCTTAGGGAAGGCTGAGCGAAGGAAGATCGATGCTTTTGAGCTGTGGTGTTGGAGGAAAGTTCTGAGAGTGCCTTGGACTGCGAGAAGATCCAACCAGTCCATCCTCCAGGAAATAAAGCCCGACTGCTCACTGGAGGGAAGGAGACTAGAGACAAAGTTGAAGTACTTTGGCCACATCATGAGGAGACAGCAAAGCCTAGAGAAGAGAATTATGCTGGGGAAGTGGAAGGCAAAAGGAAGAGGGGCCGGCCAAGGGCAAGATGGATGGATGGCATCCTTGAAGTGACTGGACTGACCTTGAAGGAGACCCTGGGGGTGGGGCGGCCGACAGGGAGCTCTGGCGTGGGCTGGCCCATGAGGTCACGAAGAGTCGGAGACGAATGAACGAATGAACAACAACAACATGGCCATGTTCCAGAAGCATTCTCTCCTGATGTTTTGCCTGCATCTGTGGCAAGCATCCTCAGGTAGTGAGGTCCTCACTACCGACCCCACTACTTCTGAGGATGCTTGCCATAGATGCAGGCAAAACGTCAGGAGAAAATGCCTCTAGACCAGGGGTAGGGAACCTTCGGCCCTCCAGGTGTGGTGGACTTCAACTCCCACAATTCCTTGAGGCTCGGCATTCGCCCCAAAGGCTTACACGAGCCTCAAGGAATTGTGGGAGTTGAAGTCCACCACACCTGGAGGGCCGAAGGTTCCCTACCCCTGCTCTAGACCATGGCCATATAGCCCAGAAAAACCTACAACAACCCAGTGATTCTGGCCATGAAAGCCTTCGACAATAGCTTGTTTACTGCTTCTCTGGAGACTAGGACGCACTGAAGCCATGGCTTCAAACTACAAGAAAGGAGATTCCACCTGAACATGAGGAAGAACTTCCTGACTGGGAGAGCCGTTCAGCAGTGGAACTCTCTGTCTGCCCCGGAGGGAGTGTGGTGGAAGCTCCATCTTGGGAAGCTTTTAACCAGGCTGGATGGCCATCTGTCAGGGGTGATTTGAATTCAATATTCCCGCTTCTTGGCAGAATGGGGTTGGGCTGGATGATGGCCCAGGAGGTCTCTTCCGACTCTGTCATTCTATGTGGCTGCCAGGAATGGTGGGAGTTGCAGTCCACAACACTTGGAGGGAGGGAGGAAGGGAAGACCCAAGTTAGTCTGGCTCATAGGGCCCCAGAGTTCAAAATAGACACGGACTCTAAGCTGAAAGGGGCCCAAAGGAAGAGGGAGACTCAAAGGCCTGGAGACCTCTTAAAGAGCTGGGTCTTTTTAGTCTCAGAAGAGAAGGCTGAGAGGAGACACGACAGCCATGTATTCATATGGGAAAGGGTGTCACAAGGAAGAGGGAGTAGGCCCTGGAAACCAGGACTCAATGGACCTGGCAGGAAAGAAGGAGGTGCCATCTGAACATGAGGAGGAACCTCCTGGCTGATGGGGAGCCTGAGCTGTTAGGCTCAAAAATGACCCCTGGTTAGGGTAATTCCACCAAAATATAACAGAGAACCAGGAGTATTTATTTATTTGTGCTGTTTCTGCCCCACTCCTTCTCATCCCGAAGGGGACTCAGAGCGGCTTCCAATGCCAATGACACAGTTATACAAAATTCAAATAATACCTGATACAATTAACCATGAAAATCAAATCGGCGTGTGAAATACAAATTCAAACAAAATGTGTGGAACATCGCACCAATCATAGAATCATCATCCAGGTTGCTTATTTATTTATTTATTTAAGACATTTGTATTTTGCCCTTAGAATCCTAGAATCCTAGAGTTGGGAGAGACCTCCTGGGCCTTCATCCAGTCCAACCCCATTCTGCCAAGAAGCAGGAATATTGCATTCAAAGCACCCCTGACAGATGGCCATCCAGCCTCTGCTTAATAATAATAATAATAATAATAATAATAATAATACAATCCTATAGTTGGGAGAGACCTCCTGGGCCATCATCCAGTCCAACCCCATTCTGCCAAGAAGCAGGAATATTGCATTCAAAGCACCCCTGACAGATGGCCATCCAGCCTCTGCTTAATAATAATAATAATAATAATAATAATAATAATAATACAATCCTATAGTTGGGAGAGACCTCCTGGGCCATCATCCAGTCCAACCCCATTCTGCCAAGAAGCAGGAATATTGCATTCAAAGCGCCCCTGACAGATGGCCATCCAGTCTCTGTTTCAAAGCTTCCAAAGAAGGAGCCTCCACCACACTCCCCCTGGGGCAGAGAGTTCCACTGCTGAACGGCTCTCACAGTCAGGAAGTTCTTCCTCACATTCAGATGGAATCTCCCAGAATTGGACACAATATTCCAGACGTGGTCTATGGAATAGAGCATGGGGAGCATGACTTCCCTAGATCTAGACACTAGGCTCCTCTTGATGCAGGCCAAAATCCCATTGGCTTTTTTTGCCACCACATCACATTCCTGGCTCATGTTCACCTTCCTCCCCACGAGGACTCCAAGATCTTTTTCACACGTCCTGCTCTCGAGCCAGGCCTCATCATCCCCCATTCTGTCTCTTTGCATTTCGTTTTACCTGCCAAAGTGGAGTCTCTTGCATTTGTCCCTGTTGAACTTCATTTTGTTAGTTTTGGCAAGTCACCTCTCTCATCTTCTCACCCCTCAGGGGACTCAGGGCGGAGCACAGCATATTCAATGCCAGGACATAAAACCATAAATATATACAAATATTAAAATCACTTACATGCACATTAAAAGTTGCTTATGTCAGTTCCGTGAGAGTTATTGCACCTTAATTATGCTGCTTGCCAAATGCCCGCTTCTACAGCCGGGTTTTCACCTTTTTTCTAAAGACCAGGAGGAAGGAGACCGGTCTGACATGGCTGGGGAGGGAGTTCCACACACAGCCCAGGGAGCTGCACAACCAGCAGGAACTTGTGTGTGGTGGGAAGGAACCGCCTTTTAGCCTTTAGGGTGGCTGAGGAGTGCAGAGTCAATCTTTAAGCTCAATAGACCTAAAAGTAAAACAAAAATACATCCTGGATAGAAAAGCCTTGGAGCGCACTGTCTTGCTACTTCTCATCTTCTCAAGAAGGTAAACGGTAAAAAGTCAATGCATTTTGCCTACAAAGTGTGTCCTCACAGAGACACAGAAAAAAAAAAAGGAAGTAACAAGATGGCGATTGTTTACATGGCCTTCCCCGGGCAATTTAAACCTAAAGGGAAGTTCCCTCACAGAATTCCTTTACTACCTCGTCAGAGGGGGGGGGGGGGGGGGGGAGACAGTGGATAGCAGTAAAGAGAAAGACAAAGCCCTTAAAAAAAAAAGAAGGAATCCCTGAGCTTGGCCCTGTCTCTAGGCTAGCTACTCATTGAGGACCAGAAACTTGATGAAACAGATCTTTGCAGTCCTGGAATGAAACTCAACACTGGCCATAAGGAGAGCTGTTCAACAGTGGAACTATCTGCCTCAGAGTCCGGTGGAAGCTCCTTCCTTGGGGGCTGGATGGGCCATCTGTCAGTGATGCTTTGATTGTGCTTTTCCTGCATGGTCCATGTGGTCTCTTCCAACTCTGTTATTCTGATTCTGTTGTTCTAGCCTGCATCCAAGGAGGACAGCCTATGGATGGGAGTCCCCGTCTCTGTTGCTGCTGCTCTGGGCAGATCTTCCCACCCAAAATAATGCAACAGCCAGAGTTCTGGGCAAAAGAAATGCCAAGATAGACAAGTGGGAGGGGGTCCAGAGAAGGGCCAGCTTTTGGAAGCCATGGGTCCCTCTGAGCTGGGTCTGTTTATCTTGGAGAAGAGAAGGTTGAGAGAAGGGGACCACGGGTCAACGTTTGAAAGGAGGTCCCATTTGGGGACGGGGGTGGGGGGTGGGGAGCAAGTCTGGAGACTTGGACACAATGGAGAAATGGAGTCAAAGGGCAGGAAAAGGGGGCCTTGCTAGACATGGAAGGGACTATGTGGGCCTTTTAGTCCAACCCCGTTCTGCCATGCAGGAAAAGCACCATCAAAGCCATCTTGACAGATATCCAAGGTTTAAAAGCTTCCAAGGAAGGAGCCTCCACCAGACTCTGAGGCAGAGAGTTCCACTGCTGAACATCTCTCACAGTCAGGAAGTGCTTCCTAAGGTTCAGGTGGAATCTCCTTTCCTGTCATAGAATCCTAGAATCAAAGAGTTGGAAGAGACCTCATGGGCCATCCAGTCCACCGCCATTCTGCCAAGAAGCAGGAATATTGCATTCAAATCACCCCTGACAGATGGCCATCCAGCCTCTGTTTCAAAGCTTCCAAAGAAGGAGCCTCCACCACACTCCCTCCGGGGCAGAGAGTTCCACTGCTGAA